GACTTTACTCCTGAATTGCCTACTCAGTCCCAAGCAGTACTTGTTGGCAAGAGCGATTCTGCGTTGGATTTCCATGCTGACATTATTATCGGTGTTAATGCTGGTTCCCAAGTAAACGAAATTCTCTACTTTCTCGAAATTATAACTGTCAAAAGTGACGTGGGTGCCAAGGCGCGAATGTGCTGATTGTTTGTTTGATGACAGGAGATACTTCGCCTTGTCCCCGTTTACCACCAGACCCATTCGCTTTGCTTCCTTGTCGAACTTGGAAAAGCCAGGACAGACTTCGCGGTTTTTCTTACCGATGATGTCAGTGTCATCGGCATAAGCCAGCAATTGTACGCTCTTGTAGTAAATTGTTCCTAAGCGGTTCAGTTCTGCAGATCTTATTATCTTCTCCAACATCAGATTAAAGAAGTCACATGAAAGAGAGTCGCCCTGTCTGAAACCCCGTCTGGTGGCGAACGGCAACAGAGCAGAGCTGGTGGTATTGCTCAACGTCATTTTTCACAGGCGTATGAGTTTTGAGGGGATACCAAATTCAGACATAGCGGCATATAGGAACCTCCTTTTAGTGCTTTCAAAAGCGGCTTTAAAGTCGACAAATAGGGGATGAGTGCGGATCCTTTTCTCGCGGGTCTTTTCCAAGATTTGGCGTACTGTGAATACATGGTCTATGGTAGACAATAGATTCGATAAGACCTTGCAACCTATCCTTACTTAGAAGGATGATCCCACGGTCGGATGATCCCAAGTCGGTTTGTTGAAGAGTGCTCTCTCACAGCAGGTGTGAGGGTCGAGCGCTGAATCCATTGGCCGTCTGTTTTGATTGCAGCTTTTTGACGTTGAACTTTCCCTGCATTGCTGGGGGCCTTTTTTTTTGCTTCCCCGAGGTTGGGTCGTATATTGGATGCATCAATATAGTAGTGCGAGTCGATGTTTGGCCCTCGGAGTATACGTATGTACATCTAAAACAGGGAAGCATGCCTTCCGTCTATCACAATATGCTCGATTTGGTTCCCGTTTTTCGATGTGGAGACATCCATGTAGCTTGAGAGAACGAAAAATGACACTGAAGGTGGCACAACGCCGAAACCGGTTTGTCTCCAAACCAAATTTGACAAGGCATGACGGAAAATCGTTCCACAATACATCACACTCCTACCTTATACGTGTCGGGGGCAGCGCTAATATGTACGCTCTAAGCTAAGAGAGCCCTGGATGCCTCGTCCTTCTCTTCCATCGGGGCATTGGCACATATGAATGAGATGTTGAAGAATCTCGCTTTGATGCGGATTGTGGCTAGACTTTCGTCCACTAGAGTGAACGCCGGTCTCTCTCCCACCACAAATCCAACACCGAGTTGCACTCCTTTACGTGGCAACTGTAGTAGACGTCGCAAGACTCACGCTTACCTTCCTCGCCCCGTCCATCGCATTTCGTGGATGGAGGTGATGTCAGCCTTTATTTTCCCTAGAACTTCAACCAGCCGGGCAGAGGCACCATCCCGATTAATCCCCAGCGCACGCGGGGTGTTACGCTCTCCCACTTTACCTCGCTCCCAAACTAGCGTTCGGTCGCTACCCAGAGTATTCATGGATATAAATATCCGGACGTAGTTAGCTGCGATTTGAACCGTAAGCACACGAATCACTTCTGGCCACTCCCAGGTGAATGGCAGTCAAAAGCTTTGCAGTACTGGGCAATGTACAAAACATAGTGGCCAAAAACGAATATCTCAACTAAACCCTGATGAATTTTTTTAAATTCGCTCTACATACCTGTATAATAAACCAAATAGCCGGACAAAACGTTAAATGATATACATATGTATGTATGTATAAATATGAGGGCGTATTGAACATTTTGAGTACGCAGATTTTTTAGGCTGGTGTATTTATTTATGCTAAATATATTACTTGATTTTGTTTTGTCACACTTAAGAAGTAAACGTCTTGGCTGTTCACCCAACCGGTCTATAGTTTTATCAATAATCTCGGATTGGATGATCCACATATCTACTTTTTAAATCAATTTACTAATTATTTTGTTAGCGTTGGGAGTATAATTTGTTATACAGTATGTATACAGGAAAAACCTTGAAATTTAGGGGGGGCCGAAATTATCAAGCAAGCATTTCGTGGTACTATTTTTGAATATCTAGGCAAAAATTTGAAAGTTAGGTGAAGAAGATTCGTGTATATTTACGTTGTCCGGTACCTTAGAATATGCACGACCCAGATATAACCAAAAACCTGAGAAAAAATATTTTTCCTTGGTTTCGTTTTCGGCGATTTTTTGTGAACAAATTTATTTCTGGCCTGTAGTTCATGGACATATGTATGTACGTCGGTCGTTAGCTGTTGCAATAAATACAATTATGTGATTTTTCCTTTTAATCAAACGAGGGCAAGAAATATCATTTTTCATGCAATTATTGATATGGAATATTAATTTATCTCTCGTTAATTAACTTAGTGGCTAAAGCATTATCTGCCAAGCTTCATTGTAGAAGGCATACTTTTAATCTATATATACAGGGTGTCCCAGAAGTAACGTGCCAATTTTCAGGGGAAGGTAGGTGGGGGCGGTGAGCTCACTGATAAACAAAAAATTTTCAGGTAAAAGTGTCACCGTTTTTGAAATATTTACATTTTTTCGAATTAAAAAAAAATCGTACCTTTTCATGTGTTTTCTTTAACTACAACTACAAACCGGGCAATACTTAGTAAATTTTTATGTAAAATACTTTCAGATAGTTGCCTCTCCATACTCAAATGCAATGTAGTTAAAATATATTAAGGAACCATCATAAAATTAGGACTATTTCTGGATTTTTAATTTTTTTATATTTTCTTCCCCAAATTTGACTATCTCGGGTGAAAAAAAAATGTACTGAGCTATAACTTTACATTACATAAAAAAATTGCTCATTTAATAAAGATTTCAGAAAGGTGCCACACTTACTGTTTTGAATAGAAAAAAAAAAGTTATAGCCGCTTTTGTGGGTAAAGGACTGAGACACGCTAGAATGTATTTAATAGATTTAAATTGAATTTGCTCTTGTTACCGTCAAATGACATGCTAAATAGTACAAAGGTACAT